TTCAGGATGCAGGGGCGTAAGAAGGCTTTGGGGTCTAAGTCTTTGTTCGGTGTACCTCGGCAACTTGCCAGAAGCAGAGGCGACTTGAGGTCCAGGCAAACCCGCTGTAGTAGCTCAAGACATGGCCACAATGGCCTGTGACTCATTGGTGCTTATAGAATTTGGGGGATAAGGGTTTTGCCGGAAATACACTCTAAAGCCTGGACCTAGAATCTGGTAAGCTGTATTTTGGGGGGTCTTTCGGTGCAGGGACATAGGAGTTTTATTCACCTCTCAGTACAATCGCAGGAATCCCTGATGGCTCCCGCAGCACCTTCAACCCAACCCGAAAACAAAACACGTATCCGGTTCGTAACTGTGCCATACCTACAAGCTAGAAACCTTAAACCGCACGCTCCTACCTGTCCGGTTCTGAACTGTGCCATACCAACAAGCTAGAATCAGAAGCCTTCAACCGCACGCTCCAACTGGAGCAACCTCCTGCCCCTGGCCGCAAAAACTTTCGAGGTTTTGGCTTGGCTTTTCGCGACCGCGTCGTCATACGCACCAGCCACTGGAAGCCACTGATAACGCGAACCTCTCCAAACCTAATTACGCCCGAAATCCTACTGCCTCAATCCTGACTCGCAAAAAACCAGACACGAAGTCTAAGTCTCAGTCCCAAGTCCAAGGCCCGTAAATTCACCAAAGCCTCTCTCGAAATATGGAAATTAAGAAACACACCTATCTGTACAGATATATATGTATATATATATATATATATATAATATACATAACCCTAAACACAATTTGCAAAAGTACCCGAAACCCTACATGGATCCTCTATAAACCCTAAAAGTACCCGAAACCCTACATGGATCCTCTTTAAACCCTAAAACCCCCAAAAGCCTAGATCAACCCTTTAGAAACCAAACCCCCCCCAAACCCCAAACTCCTAAATCAAGCAGGTTGGATCCCTCTAAGGTAGGCGCCAGCGCTGGCCATCGAAGCAAAACGCAAGCCATGAGTTCGTTAACGGCCCCTGCCTCGGTTTGAGGGCCAGAGTTTAGGGCCATATGGGTGTACCCTAAGCCCTAAACACTAAACCACAATTAAACCCTAAACCCTAAACCCTAGACCCTAGACCCTAGACCCTAAACCCTAAACCCTAAACCCTAAACCCTAAACCCTAAGCCCAGGGGATATTCCGCGTTTTTGGCCCTGCTGGGCTTGCGCAGTAGATTGTTTTGTTCCAAAACCAAGCGGCACACAGGGTTAGGGGTTCAGCTTTGCTGGATGGGTTCATGACGGGCGGCTCAGCCTTTAAACCACTGAAACCTAACCCGACTAAAGGTTGCGTAACACGTGCGTTTGAGATCGTCGTCTGTAGAAGCGCCAAATCGCACAGTTCACGCATTCTTGACCCCGCACGCAGTTGCAAGCAAGCAAGTCAGCACACCATGGCGCGATTCAGAGACGTTTCTGTCAAGCTTTCAGCCAGTACCCGGCGAGTCAGGCGAGCTGTCCAAAAGCAAAGTCGGTAACAACACGTCGCAAGCCTTCCGTTTGCTCGACGTGAGCTTGCAACGTGTCCAGCGTCTCATGAATCCCAGCATGCGCTCCGTACTGCCGAAGCAACTGCCACAGCTCAACTACATTCTCGGCATCCACCGTCTCCAAAACTTTGGCCTGAGACAGAGAGAGCAGGTCGCTCACGTCGTACATGTCCGCCAAGACCAGCAAGCCTGCCCAAGAACGATTCGATGCGTGTGCACCTGATTGCGGGAGCAACGACAACCTGCACAATTTTAAGCCCTGAACAGTGTGACCACGGAGGGCGGAAGGAAACCCAAACGCAGTCCAATCTGCAGAGGAGCGCAGCACCGAAACTCCAAAACCAGGCTCTTGCTTAAGAATGTGACGCTGAGATGAATCCCACCAGGGACTATGCAGGCAATTATTTGCAAAAATGTTCCCTTAATGAGGCCCGGAAAATCATGCCATTGGCAGCAGTTGGCCGGGTGATCCGGTGTACAGGAAGCGGAGGAAGCCCTCGACCGCTTCGGGCGAAGCTTGCTTGATCTCGATGCTGTCGTTGACGGACTCGGTCCAACCATTCCTCAGACGTGACTGATAATAACCCTAGAACTTCAGAACGACTGCTCCCTCGAAAGGGCTAGGAGGAAGGCCAGCATCAATTGCAGCTTTTTGGCGTATCAGAGTTGTTTTCGGAACCCTGACAAACCAAACCCCAAGCAGCGCAAGCATGTGCGCAACCTTGGTCCGAGGGTCTCGAAGGCTTTAGCAAGGCCGGGGGCCCTCAAGCTTATGACGCATCGGTGGACTTTCCATTCCTTGCCATCACACTTCACCACGCAATCTGAGAACGATCCATCTTCCCAGAGCTGCAATCTCCAGTCGCAGCCGGCAGTATGGCCTGTTGTCAGAAGTGCTTGTGGAGCCTGGCTCAACAGCGGTTCCAGCAGCACCTCCGGACGCCTTGCGATACAAGCACGTCGGACACGCACGGAGATCTGAATGCATGAATGCCGAAGCCTCATAAGCCCCAGTCTGGCGAAGTAAAGAATGGCGAAAGACGTTGACAACAAAAGCAGCAGAGCAAAGACACAGATGACGGCTTGGCGGAAAAGGCTCATGGCATCACCCAGCCAGTAGAAGGAAGCATCAGATGGCTGAGCATTCCATGCTTCCTGCAAGAGCCTGCGGAGTTGGATACTGTCGAGCACGCTATTGCACAACAAAGCCTATCCCCTCTTAATTCGGAGCTTCGTTCCACCTACGACTGCAGAAGCTCATCTGTTACAATGAAAACGATTGCAAGAGCCGATCTGTTGCGGGACTTTTGCTGCGATTCGAGTTCTCCTTTTGTCTTGTGGGTCTGTGCCTTTTGTGGGCTTTAGGGTTGGTAGTTGTTCATTAGCATGGCTGCAGGAGCCGATCTGTTACAGGACTTTCAGGGCGGTTTTTTCGATTCAGATGATTCTTGTCCTTTGTGGCTCTGGGCATCACGCAGCAGTCGCACCCAACATGGTTTGGTAAGAATAGCTTTTCGTGACAGTGCCGTTGCGTCCCTTTGTACCACGGGATTTCATGACAGTTTCGCTGCAGTGCAGGGCCATGCTGTGCTGCTCGACAGGCTTCTGAGTACCAGGCAGCTGCGAAGCTTTCACGCGCAGGGGTGTGGACCAATCATCCAGAAGCAGCTGCATCTGCGTGGCGTGCAGGCATCAGAGTTGACAGAGGCATGCCGTACAAGCACATGCTCGGCCTTAGTGACCCTAGATCCGGAACAGTAATGTGGAGCTCTTGAGCTTGAAAAGGACCTACAAAAGGACCCACGCAGTTTTTTTCAACCCATGCTTCAGGGTAGAAATGGTTCACAGCCTTCCTTCTGTTTCCCCCCAGTCCTTTGCAACGGGACTGCAGACTATCTAATCAACCCAATCCCCTGAACCCCTAAGCGCAAAAATCTCCGACATGGCAACGGTCCTGCATTGAAAGGGCGCCACATGATTTCAGGTTGGGCGGCCTTTGATTCCAGGATTAAACCTCTGCCTAGCTATGTAGTGTATTGATGGGGTTTGGGCTTTGATCCGAATACGCTAACCCCCTTTCAGCCCAAACTCCCCCATGCCGGCGCCTCATGATGAAAGTGTGCGAGCGTCTTTGGCCCGAAAAGAGCTTGCAGCCACGACCTTGGTAGGGGCACTTTGGGAATGCGGTTGGGAATGCGGATGCTGCAAAGTCCCACCAGCCTACTTGAATCACCTGTACTGTATGCTGCATATCAACTCTTACGAGATCTTCGCGGGTGCAGGTATGGCTGGCAGGACTGCTCTGAGTCTCGGTGGATGCCGGGATGGTGCCACATATCCTCATGGAGACTGCAGCCCCTGGGACAAGACTGCAAGCCTTGCAATATATCGGGGTTCTTATCATGAATTGTGTTCAGCATGAAACGCCTCTGGATGTTTGGGATGATGGACAGGTAGCGCAAAGCAGAACTGACACAAAGAGCCTCTCGGCTCTCAAGCAGATCCCAACGCACCACGGCGGGTCTGGGCTGCCGGCAGTCCAGAAAAAAAACCAACCTCCGCAAACAGGGCGCAAAAGGTGACCGGGGCAATGGAATCGGAGCTTCAGTGTTCGAAGCTGGGGTCGTTAGGGCTCTTTAAGTCTTGCTCCCACAAACCCCGAAGCTGCACAAGACCCCCCAAGCCGTAAAGTAGAGGGCTTATAGGGCTTAGGGCTTGGGGCTTTGGGGATGCAACCAGTGCAAAGAAGTTCGCTGCTGCCCTAAACCCCGGAGCCCGAACCCGAGACACTAAACCCTAATTACAGTTTGGGGCGTGGAGGTTGGATATGTGGCCCTCGACCTGGGATCATAGGTATGGTTAGATCTGATCCGTATTCATTGTATGTTATCCACAGTCGCGTATCCAGATACACTATCCCTGTATGAAGAACCTCGCACTCCTTCCCTGACAGATTGAGATCTCCTCCAGCAAAGACCCTAAACCCTAAGGCCTTCCCCTCATGCTGCTCGAATTGTGGGGGGCATGCTCCGCAGCAGGCGGCAAACGCACTGACTGGACAAACAGACAATCTATATGGGCGTTGTCAGCTGAACCCCAAACCCTACGCCCAAAACCCTAAATCCTACATGCTGAACCCGAAACCCTAAACCCCTAAACCCCTAAACCCCTAAAACCCTACACCCCAAACCCCGAAACCCTAAACCCTAAACCCTAAACCCTAACCCCTAAACCCCTAAACCCCTGAACCCCTAAACCCCTAAACCCCCAAACCCCTAAAAACCCCTAAACCCCTCAACCCTAAACCCCAAACCCCTAAACCCTAAACCCTACACCCCAAACCCCTAAACCCTACACCCTAAACCCTAAACCCGGAACCCCCAAACCCTAAACCCTACACCCTAAACCCTAAACCCGGAACCCCCAAACCCTAAACCCTAAACCCTAAACCCTGAACCCTAAACCCTGAACCCCTAAACCCCTAAACCCCTAAACCCTAAACCCCGAAACCCTAAACCCTAAACCCTAAACCCTTAAACCCCTAACCCTAAACCCTAAACCCCTAACCCCTAAGCCCCAAACCCCGGCGATTCTGAGGCTGCAACTTCCTCCGTCTCCCTCCTCCGCCAGAAGCAGCCCGGCTGGACCGTGGAGAGCACCTACGCAACGTTTAGGGTTTAGGGTTTAGGGTTTAGGGTTTAGGGTTTAGGGTTTAGGGTTTAGGGTTTAGGGTTTAGGGTTTAGGGTTTAGGGTTTAGGGTTTAGGGTTTAGGGTTTAGGGTTCAGAGATCAACGTGTGGAGTTAAGTTTTCCAGGGTTCAAACCCACAGAGAAGTTCTTGTGGCTCCGAATGCGGCACACACAAAAAAACTGATGAATGTTTTGAGGTAAACTTTAAACCCTACTGTAAACCCTGAAGAATCCCTAACCATGAGCCCTGAACCCAAACCTCAAAATCCGCTGGCCTCCACGCTGATCTCCATGTCCGGGTCCACCTCGGCCTTGGACGAAGATGCTACTTTTGAGCCCCCTGAAAGCCTCAAACCCCCCTAAAGCTCTGAAGCCTACAAGCCTTAAACCCCGAAGTCCTAAACATGAACCCCTAATCCGTAAAGCCCAGAACGCCCATATAGCCCAAACATGAACCCCTAATCCGTAAAGCCCAGAACGCCCATATAGCCCGGAACCCATAAAACCCATAAACGCCTCCTCCTACAAAATCTCGGGTTGCGGCCCAGGAATCGTCTCCGGCATACGCAGCCTCCAGGGATTTCATGGAGAGTTCGAACGAGCTGTGAGACTGTCAGCAAAAAGGCTGGAGGCTTTAACACAGGGGCCTTAGTCATGATTTTTTTTTTTTGGGGGGGGGGGGTATAGTATGCCTTTTCCATGAGGGAATACCATTATTCCGATCCCTGTATGAGGCTTCCAGTTTCGGAACGCTTCTGGGTTCACTATGTAGGTGTTTCGGGGTTCCTCAGTCGGCTTCAGCCGAGTCAAAGCACGTCAAAGCTAGGACAGGATTCCGCGAGATGTCTTGGGCGGAAGGCCTTGCAGCTGGGGCCTTCAAGTCCTCTGCTGCTCCAACAGTGACACAGTGAAGAGACTAAGGAATCCGAGCCTCCTGCCCTACAGCACGTGTACCGAAAAAAGCTGCGCGCTTCTAGCCATTCGCTCTCCGTGAGTGTGTCGGGTGATGCATGTCAAAAAGCCTGGAAGCCCAAGCCCGTCCCCCTGCCCCCCTATTGCGGGATTTAGTTGTGACACTTTAGGGTTTTGGTGCCTAGGTTTTTGGGTTTAGGGTTTTTTAAGCCTTAACCAGATCGGCCTTGAGAAGGCTTGGTCTCTGCTGGGACGTGGCATCCTTGTCGCCTCGGGCTGTTGTTTATCGACATGGGGCTTCTGTAGGTAGCCTTCGTGGACTTGTGCCGCAAGACTCAAGGGGCTTCTGTCTTACTCGTCCAGTTCTCTTAGAAAAAACAAGGGTCGACCTTTGGGGTTTATACCTGCCCGGCTACTACTGAAAGAAGCATTCTAGGAGAACTTAAGAGGGGATTACACATGAACCCCAGCTCTACAGAGGCGAACCAAAGGGCACGGCTGGCTCAAAAGGGTTTTCAGGCAAATTAACGCTCCAGGACTCAGCAGTTAAGTTCGAAGCTCTGGCCAGAGTCTCGCGTCCGTGGCCCTCGATGCTTCGCTACTTGGGTTTGCTGTTTAAGGTTTTACCTGCTGGCTCTTGGGAGAGGACGAGTAAATTTGATACCTTGTAGACTCCCCTAAAGGGCTTCTACAGGGGCACACAGAAACCCTGAACCCCTCTCCTGGCAAACCCACCATTCATGCAACAACCGGGACTCATCCGAACCGCATGATATCTGCGAAGCCTCCAAACCCCTAACCCCTAAACCCACTAATCCTGAGACCCTACAGCCCAGAGCTCAGCCTGATAGAAGCTGCTCTGTTTCAGCGTCGTCCTCCCCAGTGACATACTTTGGGATTTACAGAATGGGGTGTGAGAACGATCGTTCCTCGCAATTTGGGATCCAATGTCGTTGAGGGTTTAGGATTTAGGGTTTAGGGTGTATGTTGGGGTTTAGGGTCTTGACTTAGGAGGTCATCATTGGCTGAGCTTTGAGTGAAGTTCAGAGGCTTGGACATGCAATGTTCGAATGCAAAACTTCAGAGTTTAGGGCGTAGGGCTTAGAACTTGAAAGGGCTCTTAGGGTTCTACTATGTTCTACTTTGGCGTATCAGAGTTGAAGAGCAAGCGTCGCACCCTTAAGTCCTAAACTCACAGCAGGCGACGTGAGGTGGCTTGGTATCAGGTGCTGCCTCACCATAGCATCCCACAACTCTCTTGCAATTGGGTTTAGGGATGAAGGTCTAGGGTCTAGGTTCAGAACCTGATTCTGCAAAATCCGATGGGGTCCTTCTAGGGTGGTTTCGGGCTCGCTTCAATTCAAGAGTGTCGCCCAGGGCCTTCAGGGCCTGGTTCATGAGCTCAAAATACCGTCAAAACATTTCACCCTATATAAACCTAAACCGCGAATGGTCCTTGAGCCCAGAAAGCCCTGAAACATCAAAGTCCCGAGAGTCCTACTGGGGCCATTGGGCAGACTAAGAAGGAACCGAGGGACCTGAAAAGCGGGGCAAAGTGCTCACTGTCTCCTCATCCACAATATCCACCTTGAGCAGACCTTTCCTGCCGCGAGCTGCTGAAGTCTCTGCGAAGCTGTCACTAGTCACAATGGCAACTTTACAACCGCTTCCGATTCAACTAGTGCAGGTAAACTGCCGCTTCGCCTACACCCTAAACCCTAAACCCTAAACCCTAAACCCTAAACCCTAAACCCTAACCCCTCGGAGCACGGAGCCAGCAATCGACTGTAAGCCCAAAACCTCAGTCGGCCTGTAGCCTCATCGATGAAGCTTCCGAATTTGCCAAGGCAGAAATCAGTATGAGGTGGCTTCCAAGTCACTAGCAGCGTGGTAAAAAACAATAATAAATGAAGTAAAACAATAAAAAATGACCTCTAACATAAAAGGTATTAGCAGCTTTGCTTTGTGTTCGCAAGATTGGCGCCTCCGTTTCGGGTTTATGTTTGCCCTCTACCGTCGACATTACCTTGCGAGGTCCTGCTCCCGCCGCCGAACCAGCTTCTGGCAGGTACCTGCTCCGCTACAACATGTGCAAGTAAAAACGTTTTGTGCCTGCGACTACACTTTCAGCTTTACGTTCAATATCTGCTTCGGCAAGCGCTTCGCTCTTCAACACTGGCACCTTTCCTCGCCCGGTAGTGCGCATACAGAAGAGTGGTACTTGTGCAGGTCTATCCATCCATCTATGTGTATGTTGGTGTTTTTAAACTACTGGGCATGTTTTCATCGATCTGTCAATCTATACAAGCAACTCGCAATGATGTGTGTAGATTATGTCTACAGAAAATTAGGAGTATGCCAATGTCTATTGGCCGGTACAGATCTGGTACCGCTAAGGGAAGCTTGCTTGTCCAGCTTCCCAGGAGAACTAAAGGTTTACCTTTGGGATTATCGAGGGTTTACGGCGCAAGGTCGACCCTAAACCCTTAAACCCCTCAACCCTCAACCCAAAAGGGTTCAAAGGCCACCTCCCCGGCTAGTAAGGTGTAGGGTTTTGGCTTTTGAATTGCGGTCCGAAATCTGACCCTAAGGCCCGAGGGTCCGTCCTTAAGGAAGTTGGGGACATGACAGGGCTTGAGGTTTTGGGGTATTTAGGGTTGGGTTTGCGGTATTTGGGGGGCTTCCGAAAATTGGTGGTACCCTTTTGTGGTCTCCTTTAAAGGATTAGTATTTGGCGGTATATAAGGGGCACCCCCTGCTTTCGGAAAGCAGCATTTTGGGTTTGCAGGGTTTTGGGATTTAGGATTCCGGGTGGGCACCAAGCTGACTTCGGCGACGTCTGCCACAGTGGAGGACGAGCGTAACGGCATCCACGATGCCTTGAGCACAGTGATTTTTGGGGTCTTAACAATGAGAATAGGGTTTTGCGGGGATTATTATGCTATCATAAGGGAATACTATTAGAAATTATTCCGACTCCTGTAGTAGCACCAACCTATCCCCGAAAAGATGTAACACAGCCAAGGATTGCAATTCGATCTCTTTATGGCCCTTACAGAACAACAATCGCAAACGTAAACTTGCGAAAAAACATCCATGATAAATATACCATTCCCTGTATTCTTTTCCTTTAGTGTAGAAATCATTGAGTGTGGTGGGCCAAGCAACAGACAGAGTTGACAGGACTCACTTCAACAGTGCGCTTACGAGGGGGAGGGCTCCCTTCAGAGATTCTGGCAACCTTTGGAACCACTTTCCGCGAGAATCTGCAGTCCTGGTCAGGGCATCTACCTATAAACGCCCTAAATCCTCTAAGCCCCTAGAAAAGCCCTAAAATCCCATAAGCCCAACGCACTTCTATTACAAGCTCCGAACCCCGAATTTGCGAGGGTCTGACGCAGCAGTCCCAGGCAGTCTCCACGGGGCGGCAGGTGAGCTGGTCACACAGTAAGTCACCTCGGTCGCAGGAAATACGTGGGGGTTAGGGTTTAGGGTTTAGGGGTCAGGATGGGGGTTTAGGGACATTCGGGTTGATTGGTCTTCAAGACGGTCTGCCGTCAAAGGTCGGGTCTTCGGCCTAAGTTGCATGTACCCCCTGTGGTCTTAGTCTCAGTTTTAGGGTTGGGGGGTGAGGCTTTAGGATGATACACGGTTGAGGGTTCGTGTTTAAGGCAAATTGCTAGAGGATACGGAGTACAGCCCTAGGGTTCCAACGCTTTGGTGCAAGCTTTCAGGCGTGGGGGCATGGGCTTCGGATGTATTGTCAGCAGAAGTTCGCTAGCTCCTTCACCACCCTTTCTGTTGGTTAGCAGGGAGTGAGGGAATTAGGGCCCCATACCTATATATACCCTTTAAGGGAGTATATAGGGTACCTTACTCCCCCATTCCCTAGCAACCAACAGTAAGCTGGAAGCCTCAACATGCCCCTCATCGACAGAGTATAGGGGCCGAAATAACTAGAATAGGGTTTTGGGGTTTTGGGGGGGGGGGGGGGGTTGTTCTAGTAGAATTAAAGGGGCCATAAGGGAAAACTATTAGGAATTATTCCGACCCTACTCCAGGTCTTCGTGGTCGACTGGACCTCGGCGTAGCACAAGCTCAGGCGCCCAAAGGAGGATGGATTTCTTGCGGAAGCTAAGCCGGCAAGACGCGCTCCCACAGGCCCTGGAGCGCTTCGCAAGAATGCGCAAAGATACAGTTCGACCCAAATTGGGGCAGTAGCGCCTGCCGCCACTCAGCTGCCTCCAACATGCGAACCTGCATGGAGACTCGCCTCTCATGTGATGTTCGAAAGGACAGTCGGCACCCTTGTCGCACTTTGGCTCTTCGACCCCGAAGAAGAATCGACACAGCTGAGTCTTCCCTCTTTCCAGTTGGCCGCGATTCCACACCCAGACGCGTCTCTCGATGTGACCAGTGATGCGCGGACCTCCCTGCTCCAACATCGAGCGCGGCCACTTGTCTGGCCAAGCGTAATAATAGTCCGACAGGATCTGGCGCATGTCTCCGGCGGCGTAGCGCCTGCGAGGCTGAAGTCCGAGGACAGGGAACCATCTGGGCTTAAGGTTCTGATACCCACGCACCACCAGTACCTGCTCAATGCTGCCTTCGTGTAGGAGTGCTACTACAGGGTCCCACATCTCTTGCAAAACGGCTCTTTTCCAAGGGACTGTTGCGCGATTGAGGGCATCTTCAAAGGACTGTCTCATGGCTGATGAGCCATTGCCTGTATGTGCAAGTTGACGACAAACATTCTGGTATCTAGGTCTTGAGGCACGGCTCTGTTGTCCCTGCGCGCAGTGACAATCTGATCCTGCCTGATGGGCACAGCCCCTCTCTTGCTAAACTTGAACTCGAGATGCTGCTTCCAAACCCACCTCCCGGCCTTCTTGTCTTCTGCCTGTCTGCGAGAAATCCCTATTCCAAACAGCTCCAGCTCTGTGTCCGGCAAGAGCGTCCCTAGCCTGCTCTGCCACTGGTCTCGGAAACTGCTACAGTTTAAATAAGTTTCTGCAGAGCAGCTTTGTGCGTTGTGTTCCAAAAACCACCGTGCAAACACCCCGTCCAATACCAGGTCAGCATGAACATCGAACTCATCTTTTGTGTTTGAAAAGCCGCTTTATCTCATCTTGCGTCATCTTCTCCAGAGAAAGCACATTCCTGAGAACGTCGAAAAAGACATCGGTCTCATCACCCGCAATCTTCAGAATGATCATGCTCTTCACGTCAATCCGAACAGGCCTGAAATGTTGCTGTTCCCCTTTCCGACGTGTGACATGCCTGTAGTAAACTTGGAGCTCTGGCGCCTCGGCTGCTGGCCGGGGGTCCTGCTGCATGGGTATTTGGGTCGCCAGGTCTGCTTCGCTAGCCCCTTCGGCCTTGAACAACAGAATGCCATTGTTGTAGCATCCGCCCCCGTGCGTTTTGTCCATCCACACTTGCAGCCGTTTTTCATCTGGAGGCGCGTGTGCCGGAGTGACTCGCATCGTCGGCTCGTCGTCAAGCCAGTATGTCTTCAGGATGTCTTTAGAGTGATCTAGGTCAATAGCCATGGCCCTGACGGTTCTCTGACGAGGTAAGGTGGGAGATCTTTCGTCGACCTCCTTCGGAGGGCTTTCTCGTTGCGGTGCAGGAAGTGAGGGGCTTGGCTCTCAACGCCTAAGCTCGAGGCCCGAGACTCAAAACCCTGCCATACACTTTCTGGCTCAGGGGCGGGTTGGAGACGTTTCAATGACCCACCTACGCTTCATGTAGGCGGTTTAGGGTTTAGGGTTTACAATCCCGCAACCCTATATCCCTAAACTGCATGCAGCACTAGTACGTAAATAGCTCCAGGCCGGCAGGCGATGAGAACCATCGAAAACTCCCGCAGAGCCTATAGCCTACGTTTAAGAATCAAAGGAAAGGGTAATATGTAGGGCCTCCGCCCTAGAGACGCTGATTAAAAAATGGGTCCAAACCCTGAACCCTAAACCCTAAACCCCAAAACCTCAATCCTCATTAGATATGGGGCCCATATGGGGTTCCCACATGCAATCGTGGTCCAAGTGCCCTGGCAGTATCGGCCGCTCTCCTGCTGACGTGAGTTGGGCCGGACGGCCTCCTGCAACGGCTGCTCAAAGAGATAGGGTTTAGGGTTTAGGGTTTAGGGTTTAGGGTTTAGGGTTTAGGGTTTAGGGTTTAGGGTTAGGGTTTAGGGTTTAGGGTTTAGGGCTTAGGGTCTAGGGTTTAGGTTTGGAGTCCTTCGGAGGTTTTGGGGATTTAGGGGGTGTAGGGTTTAAGTTTATAGGGTTCAGAACACCCACCCACACACACACACACCCATCCCGCAGAACCCAAAACCAGCAGTTTTGTAAGTTACCTATGTAGCAAGCATGCCTGAATTATCCCTAGTCGAGATGTCTCGCTCAGATAGCACCAGACACTCCGCAGACTGCGACAAAAACTACCCACGTTTCGGGCGTTGTCTCCTGCAAAGCCTGCAAAACAACAAAAAAGATATGTATATCCACATGCAAAGCAAGAAAAAGAGATACATATATACAGATATAAACCTATCTATCTAGGCACATATATATATATATATAGTTATTTATTTATTTGTTTATTTATTTATTCATGTGTATACTATAGCCTGCAGAGTTGTAGAACCCTGATGAGGAACCCCCTCTGCAGGCAGCCAATCTACACACTCTAAGAACCCTAAGCCCTAAACCCTAAACCCCAAACCCGAAACCCTAAACCCCAAACCCGAAGTGGCCTCCAAGAGCCAAACGACGTCCTCGCGGAACACCACGCGAGAGACGCGGCAGAAGGCGAGGATGCCAAGTAAAAGCAGGCCAGTTAGCCTGGCGGGGGGTAAGACGGCTAGGATTTGAGGTGTAGGGCTTGGGTTCCTGGGGTTTAAGTTGGGTTTTACCCTAAACCCTAAACGCTAAACCCTAAACCCTAAACCCCGAGTTCACGGTTCCGGCTGTGAAAGCAAGGCTTTGGGATTCACAGCCTTTGAAGGAAGTTACAAGTAGGGGCACTGGCTTTCTGACAGACGGACCTGAGAAGATCACTGATATCCCAAGCCAGCCCCTTTAGCCGATGCCTGCAAGCACCCTACTATGTTCCGGGTTTAGGGTTTAGGGTTTAGGGTTTGAATATCCTGCGGGCTAACCTCTAGCTCTAAAGCCGAAACCATAGCCATGAACCCGCTTCAGGCCCACTTCTGCCAAACCCTGAACCCTGAGCCATCTGGGGACCGTGCACAAAGGTCGCCCAAGTCGGCAGAAGGTCCGCAACATTGGCCACCTCTTTTAAGAGGCTTGGGGAGGTCTCCCGCTTAACAGGCCTCGGAACAAAAAGGCCAGTGATCCCAGTAATGGGGAATGCTCGCGGGCTTTGGGATGTTGGCTTGATTCGACAGTTTGGGGTGGAGTTCCTGAGAGGGCGGCTCTGCCATGGAATGTCAATGAAACCATTCCAGACCTAAAGCCCCCAAGGCCCAAACCCTTAAACGCCTCTGGTGTTTACAAACTCAGACGACCTCTCCAGCAAGAGTAGGTTTCGAAGGCACTTTTGCACGAAGCTTGGACGAAGGCCCACAACTCGGACTAAGCCCTAAACCCTAAACCCTAAACCCTAAACCCTAAACCCTACATCCCACCCCCAAGAGCCGTTGGTTTGTCCAAGGCCTGGGGGTGGCTCAGGGCTTCGTCGGGCGTTGTCGAAGAGGCTGTGAGCCGTCTCTAACCCCTTTGCTCCGTCCCCCCTTCAGGCCTTGAAATTGGCCAAAAAACTGTTTCCGATATATGAACTTCTGTCACCTCTCAACCGATGCAACGACCATCGCCATCAGACGTTTGTTAAAGAGTCAAAGATCATGAGGGAGCCGATGGTTCAGACTCGCGTCTGCCACGCCTCCCCTAGCCCTCAGTCGTCATCAACACTTAATGGGGACGTCGGTCTGAACGGTATCTGCAAAGTGGTCCCGATGAGGTGCTATAGTTCGGCAATCACAACCTCCCAAGTGCTTCCCCTAATTACCCTGCTGGCTCAGTGAAACAATCTGCGCTCGCAGGGACAGGGGATACAGGGAGGAGCGGTGCCATCTCAGCTCCGCAGATCTGCAGCTACTGCTCATTCATAGCCCAAGCAGCACGCTCGGGATTGCTGTCTTTCCCCGCTGGTCCGTGACCTCTGAATCAGTGTGGCATGGATTGGTGAATTCTGTGCCGGGTTGCAGTTCAAACAGGATGTTGTTGCTTGAGCAGGACGAGGCATGATGGGGCAGTATCAAACATTGTATGTGAGTTTCATTTGAGCGACTGACAAAACCGCGTGTTCATCGCTGAGCGTTGCGAATCATGCTTGGTGGGCCCCTATCGATTTTGGATCATTAGCACCCTGGCAAATACAGCATGTCTTCGATTGTAGGGGTTTCGCTTTAGCGTGGGCCCCGATCGATTTTCGAAGAAAAGTAATAAAGACCAGAAGGCATGCAACGTGAAGGCAAGATTGGGTCTACGATAGTTTTGTCCGATGCTCTAACTAAGCCCTTCATTGCACGAATAAACGTGCGAAAGCACGCAAAAGGAGTTCACAACACAACATGGGGGTGTCCGAAAACAAGGGACCCCATACAGACCCCAAATACTAGGGGCCCCTAAACCCTAAACCCTAAACGACATAATGGGAGCACTCCCGAAGCGCCAGCATCATCAATCTTTTTGAGATCCGAGAAGGTGTTGACATGTTGAGTGCTCTATTTTTTAAACTGTGCGGGGGGGCAGAGAAGTAGCATCATTACTACATTACGATTACTACTACTTCCATGGCGATGATTAACATGAAAATCTAGCATAAGATTCATTAACTATTGCGATGATTGATGCTACAGCTACTATTTTGGTTTTGGTTCTTGTTGCACTTATGATGCTATCTTGTTGTTTCGTGCTACGGGTGATTGAACCCTGCAGCCCGATTCTATTCACTGAGCCGTCTCTGGTCCCTCGGCGCCTGCCGTCATAGGTCCTCGAGGAGGGCATAGCCGCGATACTTCCGTGCTAGGCATCGCAGGCCGCAGTAGCCCAGAAAGGTCACCACCTGGGGAAGGGAGCCATGCCATGGGACCTGCTTAAATTAAATAAATTAAAGAGCCCTATTTAAATTATTCAAATTATTTAAATTATTTAAACAAATTCAAGCTGAAGGTTGGGATGCTCTCCCTCAAACTAGGAGTCCTTAGTAGGCATTATAGTGGGGGGGTGCATACTAAGGACTCTTGGTATAAGGGGGGAACATCCGAAGTTGAGGGTACCAAACCTACAGGGGCCTGGAATTTTGCTAGAGAGGCTGCTTTTGGTGTGGAAGGGGTTTCAGACTCGCAGGTTAAGATGTCAAGGGTTTAGGGCTTTGGGTTCAGGGTTTGGGGTTTTGCTCTTGTGGTGTTTTTTCCACTCCTACAGGGTTAGGAGTTTAGGGTAGATCTTTAAATCCACTCCTACAGGGTTTGGGGTTTCGGGTAGGTCTGTTAATTCTTCTACTGGGCTTGGGGTTTAGGGTAGTCATCCTCAAGGGTTTCTGAGTTGCGGCTTCTTTACCACCTCCTGCCCCGAACTGAGGGTTTAGGTTGCAGGGTCTCATCATGATCGGCCCGTATGATCCTCAACCTGACCACGGCCTCACAGAACAAAGGCAGATTTGAGAAAGGACCATTGAAAGGTGGATTTTAGGGAACAATGTCTCTAATTAAGATAAACAACTCCACAGGTCAGATGCAAGGTGCCTCTGGGCCCGAAAGCCCTTAACCCTAAAAATGCTAAGTGCTGAAACCTAAGACCTTGAAACCTCAAGGCCCAACCATTGGAACCCTCAATCTCTAAACCCTACTTAGCCCTAAACCCTAAACCCCAAACCCTAAACCCTAAACCCTAAACCCTAAACCCTAAACCCTAAACCCTCTTCAGCCCCGAACCGGAGGGCCCCTGAGCCCTGAACACTTCAACCCTGATACAGGAGCCGAACAAATTGCCAACATTATCCTCCTAAGTCCTCTTTATATGTAACTACCACGGAAATTGCCCCTCCCCCGCCCTCCCAAAACCAAAGCCCGAAAACACACAAGCCCTAAGCCACGAAAAGTCCTAAACCCTAAACCCTAAACCCTCAACCCTAAACCCGAAACCCTAAACCCTAAACCCCAAACCGTAAACCCTAAACCCTCAACCCGAAACCCTAAACCCTAAACCCTAAACCCTAGTCCCGTTCCAATCAAACAAAAGGCACCCAGAAAAGGCCCTGGGCTCCTGGCACAGTAGAGGGCCAAGCTCACTTTGTCGTTGTCTTTGCCTTACACCCGAGCCCTAACACGTTTTAGGGGTCAGGGTCTAGGGCTTAGGGTTTTCGGGTTTAGGGTTTAGGGTTCAGGGTCGAGGCCTTAGGGCGGTTGACCAAGCCAGTACTCCAGGGAGAGCCGGAGGAGACTTGTCGCAGTGCGCCAAGTCACCTCCGGCTCCCCCCGGAGCAATGGCTTGGTCATTGAGGTAAGAGCGTTTACCTGAAGTTGCCGGTTCAGGCCGTGCGTGGCAGCGTGTGGGAGTTTACGAAAATAAGGGACCCCAGTTTTGGTTTTGGCCCCCCAAACAGTAGGGTCCCCCTATAATAAGGACCCCAATAAATTACCCCTGACCCCCATCTTAGAATAGGTGTATAGGAGTTCACAGCTTTAGTCTTTTTCGTCTTTGGGCCGCGGAGACTGAGCCTTAGAGATCTTCATACAGGAGGTTATTGAATCCGATTGCTCATTTAGGATTTAGAGTTTAGGGATATTGATTATGATTATACAGGATTTGTTTGGGGACAATACTTGCAAATAGATAGGCTCCTATGCCACATGCTTTCGACTGCTTTGGGCCAAAACAGGGTTTGTTTGGGGACAATACTTGCAAATAGATAGGCTCCTATGCTAGATGCTTTCGACTGCTTTGGGCCAAAACAGGCCCTGTCTAGTTCCTGGCTTTGAAGCTGATCTTAGGGCGCGCACTTGCATCTGCAACGCCTGAAACCAAAACCTTAAGGCACCTCTCTCTGTTGATAGCGAAAGGCAGCAATTCCATCTTCCCTAAACCCTAAAAACCCAAAAACCCATAAGCCTTCAAGGTTTAGGGTTTAGGGCTTAGGGTTTAGGGTTTAGGGGAACCCTAAAACCCTAAAAACCAATTCCAGCCCAAGCTGCTGATCAATTCGATGACTTGATCCAACGCGCCCCAGCCTCCGACCTCAAGCTTGCCATGACTGCTTGGAGCTTCATGGTACTTATTGACCATTCATAACTGTACTTGTAACCCACTTAGCAGGGCTTAGGGTTCATGTATTGTGTATGGGGATTGTGTATCCGGGGTAGGAGCTTTTGCGTATTTCACGGTCTCGGGTTGGGGAGTTTCAAGTATTTTGGGTCTTAGGGTTAGGGGTTTAAGTATTTCGGGTTTTAATGACCCTTTAATCAAGGACATAGGCAGGCTTCACGTGGGGATCGTATGTGTGACTTCAGGGGAGAAAGCATCCTTCCATACTCTAACTTAACCAAAGGCTCGTTGTGTAATCGGGGTACCCTTTCCCCCCGACAAGAGTCCTAAGCCCCAGACCCTTGCCTGCCCGAAGTCCAAAAAATGAAAACAAGAGGGCGGCACAGGACCAGGGCTTCCCAAAACCCCAACCCCGAACCGCCTCAACAATAGACTTCCTTCTCGACTTTGCTGATGAACCCCCCCCCCCCCTCCCCAAAAAAAATAAAAAACTAGCCCATCATCCACAGGCTATGTCTTAGCGTCTCGGATTTCCGGCTTAAGGCTTAGGGCTTATGGGAATTGAGGGTTATAGGATCCCTAAGCCTTAGAGCCTAAACCCTAAACGCTAAGCTCCCGATAGCAACCCTCAACCTCAAACCCTACACATGTCTTGCTCAAGAAGAGCGGCCCACAAGAGGAACACCAGGAAGAATGCCAGGAATTTCACCTCCCGGACGCCCAGGGTTGCCGAGGATTAGGGGTGTAATGTAGTTAGTAAATCAGGGTTTAGGTTTAGGGTTCCCCAAATCTTGAAAACCCTGGGCCTGTCAGACAGGCAACTAGGGAGCTAACCAGGGCTTCTCAAACTTAGTGCCGTAGTGTTTGACCCTTTATATCTATATATACATATATATGTATATACATCGAGACCTATGTATGTATCATATGTGTTTATACAGATACATATATATATATATGTGTGTATAGTGTATATATACATTGATTTAGTTGTATATGTATACTGGGTTTGTATACGTCAAACGGGTAGTGAACTTGTTTGGGGAGTGTAGTGATAGTTAGTGCCTAGGCTTTTAAGGTTCAGGGCAGCAGGGCCAGGATGCATGGATTGCTTGCCTGGGCGTCGAGTTTTGGAGTTGCGGCCTTCGGCTCGGATATGAGGGTTTACGAGGGGACCCCCACTACAGACCCGCAAAGAGTAGGGTTCCCTAGGGTTCCCTTATACTACGGACCCCAAGAAGGTACCCCTAACATCGTAAACATATCCTGACCGCAAAGGCAAGCGGGGCTTGCCTTGCCCGGCGGCAGGGCATTCGGGACGTCCTCGGGGTTTGCCAGTGAGGTGGCCTTGCCCGGCAGCGCTTCACCTAAGCCCTGGAGCCTAAACCCTCGGAACGTCGCAAGCCATGAGAGTACTCAACATATGATGATTCCTCTAAATTAAATAGTAGGTCCCTTTTGGGGTGCTTGTTATAAGGCGGCCCCTCTTTTTTAGGGTACCCCAACAGGGGCCATCATTCTGAGAACTCAACATATCAGGTTGGCCCACGGACGAATGCCAAGAAACAGGCACTATAGGATATGCAGGCCGTTATTTTGGGTAATTTCATTGCAAGGGGGTTTTTTGGAAGCCACCAACATTTTGACCCTCACTCATCCCCACACACAACCTGAATCTTAAACGACCCTAAACGACTCATGCGACCTAATACGAATCTGAACATGGAGAACGCCCCTCCACCAAGAACCTTCAAACAAAACCCTCAACCCCCCCAACTATGAACCAGGATGTAGAATCCAAGATGAGAACTTAAACCCAAACCCTCCCACTACGAACCAGGAATTAGAATCCAAGATGAGTACTTGAACCCGAACCCCCCCCCCAAAAAAAAAAAAAGATAATAATAATAAATAAATAAATAAATAAATAAATAAATAAATAAATAAATAAAACAAGCGAGTGCTGCAAAGCTACCGGTCGGCTGTCGCTCGCCTGCGTGTTCCGGCTCCAAAGGACAGCTCAAGGTGTTGGCTCTTAGACTTTTGGGCATAAGGGGGTTAACAGCTCCTAAACCTAACCCTAAACCCTAAACCCTAAACCCTATAAGGGGGTTAAGGGCATTCAGTCTTAGGGCTTGCTGCTGTTAAGGGCTTGAAGCTTTAGAGGGGGGAAATATGGGTACCACACTCTGGGCCCAGTCATGGGCGGCCCGTTTTGACTACGGCCGGAAGCCCTTTTTGAAGCCTAAGTGAAAAGGGGTTTAGGGTGTAGGGTTTAGGGTTCAAGGTTCAGGAGGGGGCTTATAGGGTTTGCTACTCCGCAATCGAGATTTACATCGACCCCCCCCCCCCCCCCACCCACATGCACGCGTCAAAGCAATCGGCAACAGTCAATTCTGTGTAAGCCACCCAGGAAGTCTTGGACGCCCCATCATACCAGAGGGGTCGGAATATTACTCATAGAATTCCCTTCTGGTCCCTCCTTATTACTTACATTTACAGTATAATAACTCCCACAACCCTTCTAAGTATTAAGGTCGATGGGCACCGTTGCGTAGACGATGTCGTTGTTTGGGACAGGAATGCCCATGAGCACAGTCCACAGAACCACCGTATCTCCGCAAGCTGTGCGCCGAGGCTTTGTACCCCGGTCAGAAAGGGGAAACGCACCTTGCAAGTGCTTCACCCAAGGTTGCCGACTGTTTGGCGGATACGTCTAACCTAATCCCGATTGGGGGGAGACGAGGCGTACGGCCCTCGAACAACGTGCACCTGCGTATCACGCGCGCCACGACGGAGCCTAGTGAAGAGATGGCGCCGTTAAATTCAGGGAGTGCCCTGATCCCTGAAACGGGCTTCGCATAAATGTCGTACTTCGGCTTTACCAGGCCGACATGATAGGTGGTTTTCAGGGCTACCCCTACACTCTAAGCCCCCTTCGATCCTGAATATTTTAAAGCCGTGGGCGTAGCAGGTGCAGGGGTTCAGGGTCGTGGTGCTTTAGGCATTGAAGTCAATCACTGCCGAAGACCCCAAGACCCCAAGCTATCAAGAAATTTTCGCTCCGAGGCTAGTCGCCCCACACCCGAAGCTCCCTTAAACCCCAAAAGAACCCTAAGCCCTAAACCCCTAAAGAACCCTAAGCCCTATGCCCTAATTCCCTGCACCTTGACGTTCTCAAACCCTAAACCCCCGAAACCCTAACCATAACACCCCCATTACGGGTTTGGGACGGGTTTAGGGTTTAGGGTTTGGGGTTTGGGGTTCAGGGTTCAGGGTTTAGGGGTTTATAGGGGTTTAGGGCTTAAAACCTGGCCACCTCCGCCACCTCCTCCAGATCATGCCCCGGACGCCCCAGCACGTGGGGGTTCGAATCCGGGGAGTCCATGGCATGGGTTAAGGCCAAGGTAGGGTTTAAGGCTTTAGGCTTTAGGCTTTAGGCTTTAGGCTTTAGGCTTTAGGGTTTAGGGTTTAGGGTTTAGGGTTTAGGGTTAGGGCTTCGATGTAGGGATGTAGGTTTAGGGCTTGAGGGTTAAGACCAAGGTCGGGTTGAAGGTTTGGGGTGAAGGGTTTAGGGCTTACCGGGTGCAGGGGTGTAGGTTTCGGGCTTAGGATGTAGGTGTGTAGCCGTTCGGGGTGTAGGGTTAAAATCAAGGAAGGGTCTGAAGGTTCGGGGCTATAAGGGTCTAGGGCTTGTAGGGTTGCGGCCTTAGGGGTGCAGGGTTTAGGAGGGTTTAGGGGTGTAGGCTCCATTGGGTGTAGGGGTGTAGGGTGTACAGGCTCCGCAGGCTTGTTGCCTGAGCATACCGAGCCCCAAGCCCCTCAAGCCCATCAGCTTTGAGCCAAGAAAGAGTATTGCGAGTTGAAGATTTTCAGCTTAAGGTTTGGGGTTTAAGGTTTAAGGTTTGGGGTTTAAGGTTTAGGGTTTCGGGTTTAGGGCCATACGAGCTCTTGCTACCGCATGGCTGCGAACTCGCTTTCACTGGGGCAGGGAAACACCAGAAAGTCCGTTCACACGCGCGAAGAAAGTAAGTCATTCATCCATAGCCCGTCAAGAACACAATTGGTGAACGCATGTCCTCAAAACATGTACTCATAACACCTCCAATAATAAGAATATCATTAGGTGAGTGAAGAGAACTCATTTCGCGCCTGTTATATTTCACGTGAGCTCCATTCTGGGTGGACGGCAATAATAAACAGACAAGGAAAACAAACATGATCCCCAAACATATTCTCATGCTTCGAACCTTATCCGCGAATTCTGGTTGCTGAACGGCAACCTCTTAACGAATTAAACGCTTAAAACGGCCCAAGCCCTATAAACCCGTAAACGCACCTTGTGCAGCTCAGTCGTCAGAGCTTCAGGCACGTAGTCAACGTCGTCTTGCCTGAAACTTTCTCGTAGCTGCTCGTGGGGTTTTCAGCATTGTATTGCCAAAAGCTGCAGACATACAACAGACTACAACTCACCCGTCTCGGTCAGCCTACAAAAACGTGCTCGAAGAGTGAGCCAGTGATCCCGAAATGCCCTGAACTACGCGGCCCTACTTCTGCAACATAGGCTCGAAGGTCAACAGCATTAAGCGCAAGGGACGCGTGCCTGTGCCATAGAAGGAGACAACATGCCCAAGCGAGTGGAAAGGCCAGCCTTGGCACAGCGAGGCAACCCAAGCTGCTGGCAGAGCTACAGCCGCTGAGGGCACTATGAGTCCAGGGTTTAGGGTTTAGGGTTTAGGAGTGTGTGCAATTTCATGACAGCTTGATGCGAGACATCGGCATTCTGAATTCTCTTCTCTTCTTGTCAAAGGGGAATGCTAAGAATGTCGAAGCAGAGAATTTCATGCAAAAAGTACGATCGCTCTTCACATGGACATGGAAAATCTCATGGCAAGTTCACTGACAGCTGCGGAACACTCCGGAGCTGCAGAGACCGCATATATGAGAAGGCAGATCAATAATTCCCGATATGCCCGGATCATGATCGCCTACCCACACTGGAGATACAGAGCGCGCCGACTGTTGCAAAACTAATCATACATAGCACCATCTAATTGCACGATGTTGCACGATGTTTTGAGCACACCAAAAAACGTTTGTTGCTGCCCTTCGGTGGAAGCACTCGACTCGGCACACCGGTTGTCCTCTTGGCTGCCACAAAAGGGATGGCCCACTGCCTTCTGAAATTCATCCAACCATTTTGGCGATTCATTTGGGGATCCTGACAGCTCCTATTGAAATGCAAAAAACACAAACAACCAGGCCAGCGCACCATCTGAGCCCCACACAGGAGGCTTGCGTGGGCTTCCCAGGCTCCCAGTTTCAGCCGGTGTGGCACGGTGTACCCTGGCAAAGAAGGGCAAGGGATTGAAAGCCCTTAGGTTTGAGCCTTGAGCATACATACCCTAAACCCAAGAAACGGTCTTCCGGCAGCGGGCATTCCCTCATGAGTGTTCAACCCCCCCCCCCCCACCCCAACAAGCGCCCACTACTTAAATCCTACTACTCTCCCCTTCATGAAGGGAGGCGGGGGGACTCAAGGCCAGTTTGAAAGGAATCCTGGGTTTGAGTTGCTTCTGTGCATACGCACTTCATTTCGAGTTTGTCAGCCTAATTCTGAGGCTTGGCATGTTGCAGCAAAGAATGTTGCAAGCGAGGCCGCTGTACGACGACAGTGGCAGTCAACCGGCAAAGCCAGACGCCCGGCGAGGATACACCTTTGCAGTTGAGGGTGGACAGGACTGTTGTTGCCTTGAGAACACGAAAGTGCCGCCCGAACGCTCGAAAGACAGAACGACTCAAGGACTAGCGGAGCGGACCTTGCCTTGGGCTACGTAACTTTGTCGTTGTTGAAGGTTCAGGGTAAGCGGAAGAGAACAAACCCTAAACCCATGTAATGCAACCTAAACCCTAAACCCTGAACCCTGAACCCTAAACCCTAAGCCCTAAACCCTGATTCTAGACCCTAACGAAATCCGCACCCTAAACACCAATCCAAGCCCCATCAGCCCCGTCGAAGGGCCCCAGCAGATGCAGCACCACCAGCAGGGCCATGGCCAGGGAGCCAACCGTGAGAGTGGAAGCCGCCGCTGCTCGGGCCTCCAAGGTCTAGGGTTTAGGGTTTCGGGTTTAGGGTTTAAACATTAGGGGTTACAAGTCAGGGTCTAGGCTTTAGGGTTGTGTGAAAGGTTGAGAAGGGTTTTTGAGGGCTTAGACGGATTGTTGCTTGGATTTGTTGTTTTTATCTTCTTTCTTTTTTTCCCCCAACCTCGGTGTGGGGTTGTTAGAATTCAAACTCAAATCTTCTCCTCGCCCGGTCTACTCCTCGCCCAACCCTGACCAACCCGAGAGTGTCCGAGTAGATCTACCCAGAGAGGGTGGGGATGTTCGAAGTATGAAGTATTAGATGTTCTTTCTTGTTTAGGGCGGGGGGGGGTTAGCTCATTTAAGGTTGAGTCGGCTTTTGGAAGGGTTCAGAGGGTTGTCGGGTGTTCTTAAGGGCCGGACTGAGGGTTTTGAAGTGTGTTGTTGGGCTTACATGAGATCCTTCGGTTAAAAACCCCAAACTCAAAGGTTCAGGGTTCAGGGTTTAGGAATTAGGGTTTAGGGTTTACGGATCAAGCTCCTAAACCCTAAGCCCTGTACCTCATCCCAAAAGCCCTCCTCAACCTTTCAAAACTTACCTCGATCCCTGTCGAGGACCCAATATTTCCACTTCTCTCAAAATGATGGTCCCTTTTGGGGTTACTGCTATAAGGCGCCCCCTATTATTTGGGGCACGCAAACTGGACCCTATGCTTACTAGCAATTTCTCCTTGTTTAGTAGGCATTTAAAAACCATACGCAACAAAAAAGTAGGGACAACCCTATGCTCTGGTCCCAGGTAAACCCAGAGTGCCCCCCAAAGCCCCAAGTGGCTTCCGGGTTTTAAACACCCCCAAAAACAACCCTCTACACCTTAAGCCCTAAACTACAATAACCAGCACCAAAATTCCCCCCCCCCCCCCCACTCCATGTTTTAGGGTTCAGGCCTTTATGTTGAACCTTTTTTGCCTCTGGAGCCCCCAAAGTCCAGGCCTCCGGAGCGCCCTCGCGGAGCATTCGTGGCGCGCCTTTAGCTTGCGGATGCGCCTTTGGTTTGATAATGCGTAGGGTTTAGGGTTCAGGGTTATAAGGGGTGGCATTATTAGAAACCAAGGTTTGAAGGAGGGTTGAGAGCAAGATGCTGAAATTGAGGCTTTTGCTTGGCTTTGCTTTGCTTTGCTTGGCTTCTCGCAACGGGAGCAGATAAACTAGACAGACTAACCTACAAGACGCGATGACGAACGCAAGTAAGAGGTTCAAGAATTGCTATCATCAGTACTTGCAGGGGCAAGCATGAAACCTCGTTCGTGCAATGAAGACCACACGACCAGAAAATCCTGCACTGCACCCGAAACAGTAAGCCCAAAACCTGAGCCGCATGCCCGCATCCATTTAGCCCAACAACCCTGCAGTCTCTCCATGCTCCCTCCCACAGCCCTGAAAACAGGAATCCAGCCCCTAAAGCCCTTAAACCTACCAAGCCCGAAGTCGAAGAACCATAAACACGAAGCGCCTGAGAGACTCTCATCGGGTGGCTCCCCTGGCTGGAGGGAAGACATGGGTGCCGTTGGCGGCTTTATGTGCAGAGTGGTCCTCTTGAACCCAACAAGGTGAACATCATTAGAACTAAACCAAGGGCGGTTTCGGAGGCCGGGGAAATTTTTACCATCAGGCGGGGCGTTCATGCGTGTAGTAGCAAATCTTGCAATTCGCCGCCGTCGACAGTGAGCACTTCTTAGACATGTCGTTCAAAAAAGTTGCCCCTAAACCCTAAACCCTAAACCCTAAACCCTAAAAGCCCCTCAGTGGCTTCTCAGGTTCAAGGTCGGGTGGCTGCTGGTAAAAGCGAGCACGGGCCAACGCCATGTCCACGGTGGGATCATCCAGGGCCTCAGGGCACTGACCATCAGGCAGTCTCTCCAGGGTACCCTAAACCCTAAACCCTAAACCCTACAGTGCTGTTAAAGAGTTCAACTCTGAACCGAAGCGTTTTAGGAAATGAGTGTAGCCCAAATGTCATATTCGAAAGCAACAGTTTGGGCACCTAAACTGATGGTCTCAAAGAAGCACAAGGAGAAGGGTTAATCTGCCCAATCGGCCCTTGTTGGTACCCCTTGCACTGTGCAGTAAGGAATATACCATAGAGGAGACCCCAAGAAGGCTCATGTCTTGTGGCCAGACGACTATGGCGCAAAAACCCTTATGAGTCCGAAACTCTCTGAAGCACTGGAGCTCTGTGATGAGTGGTGCAAGTGGGCCCGAAACTCTAACCCTCCACCCCCTTCAGCCCTAAACAAGGTGCACCTCTCCACGTCTTCTGATGCAAGCCCAAGAAAACCCCAACAACCCCACAATCAATATCCCTAAACCCCAACCCTAAACTCCAAACCCTAAACCCTAAACTGCTACTCTGCTTGGCCAATCTTGGCCACCCAGCGCTTGAAGGCACGTCCCCCTGAGAGAGTGCGCGAGGTCGCCCAGCAGCTTGTGACCTTGGGCTGCAAGATTTTGGGTTTAGGGTTGAGGGTGTAGGGTTAGCGTTTAGGGTTTAGGGTTTTAGGGTTTAGGGGTTAGGAGCTAGCGTTTATGGTTTAGGGTTTAGGATTCAGGGTAGAGCCCCTCACAGGTTTTGACAGCACCTGGGTTGAGGGACCATGCGATATTCGGAAAACGCGGTGAGATCGGAAACGGAGATGTTGTTCAACCCTAATCCCTTCCCCCTAATATTAAACGGGGGGTCCCCCCCCCCCCCCTTTAAAAATTCGAAATGTGTTTTTATTATTAGGGGGTATTTTTATCGAAATGTCGCAAAATTAGACTTCAGGGTGTGGAGAGCCAGGCTCACAGGCAGCTGACAGACAGCTTCGTGCTGCCAAAAGACGGGCCTCTAAATTAAACCTAAACTCTGAACCCTAAGCCCTAAACCCTTAATTAACCCTAGACCCCCCAACCCAAAACCCTCTGAGGGTTTTATTGGTGTTGAAGGATTTCTTGGAGGCCTGAACCCCCCCCCAATTCGGAATAGGGTTTAAAAGGCGGGCTCGGTTTCGGGAGGTTTTTCCGGAAAGTATTTTTATTATTGGGGGGGTATTTAATAAAAGGGGGAAGGGATTAAACCCTAAACCCTAAACCCTAAACCCTCAACCCAAATTATTCGGAAGAGCTCATGGCCAGACTTCGCTTTGGAGCCTCTAAACCCGAAAGTCCTGCAAACCATCTACGAACTGCGAAGCTTCTAAACCCTAAACCCTAAACCCTAAACCCTAAACCCTAAACCCTAATAAACCCAAAACCCTAAACCCCACATCCGCTCTCCAGCGCGCCAAGCACCGGGCGCGGAACCTCCCAGTTAAAACTGGAGGGCTCCTGCGGCTTTAGGGTTTGGGGAGAAGGGTTTAGGGTTTAGGGCTTGGGGTTTAGGGTTTAGGGTTTGGGGTTTAGGATTTAGGGTTTAGGGATCAGGGGTTAGCGTTGGCCTCTTGAAACCTCTGAAAGAGAAGGAACATCTGGGGCTTAAGACAGATGAGAGCGTTTGTAACATAAGGCCTGTGTTGGTACCCTATAGAATGTCGGTCTACAGGTCAGTTAAAGGCCCTTATATGTTCATAACGTATGAAACAAAGGGTCGGCGTAGTTGCTGGCTCTTAATAGGCCGGGAAATATAGGGATCCCTTTTTTGCAGACCAGGCGGATCCAAATTCAGGGGGCCTCCAGAGCGTTTGGAGTGTCTGAGCGACTTTATGTAATATGAGTAGGTTAGGAGGTTGTAGGCAAAGAAACTCTGAGTCAAGACCGAAAGAAGCATTTATTGGCCACACAGGCGACACAAACATCCCGGTCACGATCATCTTCCCTAAGCCGAAACTTCCTCCAAACTCTGCATCATATCAACCTTGCCCCAAGGCACTACCTGGGATTCTACTTACCTACCGCTTAGTAGCAACTCTACCCCTTAATTCGCAAGTAGAATCCATGAAAACTGTAGCTAAATAGATTCAGGGTCAGTTCCCAAAAGTAGTGACCACATGCCGAACTCAGTAGCCCAGTAACCATCTTGGGGTTGGCTACTGTATAAGGGAACCCAGAACCCAAAAAAGGGTAAAGGGTACCACTGGGCTACCAGGGCTACATGCTGAGCCCTGTAAGCGGCGAGCGCTCAATGCCAGCAGCTGAAGCGGCAGAAGCACGAGGCGGAGCCTGGGCGCGACAGTGATTTTGCCTCCCTCCATTGCTAGTGGCGAAACGTGCTCAAGAGGAGCCCTCGACCCTATAAACCCTAAACTTAAACTTAAACCTTAGAGACCTAAACCCTAAAACCTTACTTAAAACTGTTGGGTAAAATTTCGAGTCCCAGGTAAGCCCCAAGCTCTCTCCAACCCTTCGTCCCAAAACCCTAAGCCGCAAACTCCATAAGCCTTTGCCCGTCCCGTATGCACGGCGGCACCCTTATACTGAGGACCCTGAAAGGAATCCTAATTTCCTGAAAGCCCCAGACTTACACCAAGGACTGGCAATTTGCCTGGCAGTCGCAAGGGTTTAGGGTTTAGGGTCTAGGGTGTAGGGTTGAATCCCTAAATCCTCTAGGCATTGCAGCAGCCCAGGCATTAAACGGGCACGCTTTGGGATTTCTATGCGCCCCGAACCTAACCCCTAAAATCATCAAGGGTGCCACTGTGGACTGCGAACTGAGTCAGCTTTGAGTCGCAGAAGGGGGCCGAACATGAAGGCCGACTTCAAATCCTTTGCTGATCCTGTGGCCCTAAGCCTTATCAGTCTTTCCGCAAATTCCTGTGCCCGCCCTAAAGCAGGCCTCCTAAACCCTAAACCCTAAACCCTAAACCCTAAACCCTAAACCCTAAACCCTAAACCCTAAACCCTAAACCCTAAACCCTAAACCCTAAACCCTAAACCCTAAACCCTAAACAGTCAGCCGTGGCCCCTGTTGCTTGGCTCGGGCTTAGGGCTCTTAAGGGCTTGCAAGGCTTTGAGGGCTTCTGGGGTGTTCTGAGCTTCCAGGCTTGTTGGAGCTTTGAAGGCTTTTTCTAGGGCCTTTACGGCTTCCAGGGATTTTAGGGCTTTTCAGGGATTTTAGGGCCTTTCGGGTGCTTAGGGCTTTGGGGTTTTAGGGGTTTTTGAAGGGTTTAGGGAACCCCGATGCTGCAGCCCTAAACCCGAAACCCTAAACCCTAAACCCTACACCCTGAATTCGCCACACTGGGCCGCAGCGCAGTGGTGCTGCGTCCTGGGCGGAAGGAGGTTTAGGGTTTAGGGTTTAGGTTTAGGGTTTAGGGTTTAGGGTTTAGGGTTTAGCGTTGAGGGCCCTGCCTGAGCCCTTCTTCATCTAGCCGCTGTTCCAGCTCTGACGGACAGTTCGAGGTTCGGGCCCCGTGCCGCGGCTCTTTGGGGCTGACCGGGTTCGCTTCGTTTCAGCCTTTCAACTCCGCTGAGGTCTTGGAAGGTTTAGGGTTTAGGGTTTAGGGCCTTAGGGTTTAGGGTTTAGGGTTTAGGGTTAGGGTTCAGGGTAGGCTTGTTACAGACGTCTTAGGTCAATGGGGCCTTGAAGATTCCATAAAGAAGCCCAGCCTACAGCATTCCAAGCCTTCAAGCCCAAAAACCCTAAACAAAGCCCAACTAAGCCCAAAACCCCGAAAGGCTTAAAGCATACAGTGGATGAGCTCTGAGTGCCCTGGAAACCCAGCAGCCCCAAAAACGCATTATAACCCCATCAAAAAACTAACATCCCCCCCCCCCCCCCCCCCCCCAACAACAACAAACCTATAAACACCTAACACCCTAGAGCCCGGCCACGAAACCCTCAGCCCTATCGACCATGAAGCCTCAAAGTCCTTAAGCCCTGAACCCTAGAACCTTAAGCCCTGAACCCTAGAACCCCGCAAACTTCAGGAAACCCTGAGCCCCAAGGAAGCCCCAATACAAACCCCAGCACCCCAATCTTGCCCTAATCTCACCCGCCAAACCCGATGCCCTGAACCCTGCACCCCAAACGCCAAACCCCAAACCCCGAAACCCTAAACCTTAAACCCCAAACCCCCAAACCCTAAACCCTAAACCCCAAACCCCTAAAGCCCACAAAAGACCATTCTGGGGGGCTTGGCCGAGGGATCGCCACTGAGTGCGGACGCCGCGGAAGCCTCAGGACTGTTGTCTGGTTTGGTTGGGGGTCATTGGGGGGCCATTAAGGGGGTCATTTAGTAGTTTAGGGTTTAGGGCTTAGGGGTGATTCAGGGATCATTCAGGGGTCTGGAGGTTTACATGCATGTGTATCTGGTTTAGGCGTTTGGGGGTTTGGGGCTAAAGGTTCTCGGGACACAGGCTCGGTGCAAACATCGAGTGGGGCAGAAACCACAAGCATTTCAACTTTGGACCTATGCAATGCATCCACAGGATATGTATGTAAGCCTATATGGTTCTCTAAATTACGGTCCCTTTTGGGTTCCTCTGAAAAGGTGCTCACTATATTTAGGACCCGAACAGGGACCCCAATTCAGAAGTACCCATATATGTATATCTGGAAGCTACATGCACCACATGCATGTCGCGCGTTCAAAATCTACGTAACATAGGGGCCTTAAAGATTAGAGTAGGGTTTTGTGAGAAATTTAGTAGAATTCTTAAAAAGGAACCATAAGGGAAAACGATTAGTAATTACTCCGACCCCCGAATTACGTACTCCTTAGGAGAATCGCTGACTGACCTTGCTTCTCTTAGGACGAAGCCATGGAAGCGACAGCGGCGAAGGCAGTCATCGCCTTGAGGTTTCGGGTTTAGGGTTTAGGGTTTAGGGTTCAGACTCAGATGTCTGTTCGGGGGGCTGCGGGTCTCTTCACTACATCGCCTGGCATTCACAAGCCTGCGGTGCCCATGCATGTGCGACAGCTCTGGCCCCTGCGTGGCCGGCAAGTACCTGCAGCAAGGTGGAATGCACAAGGACGGGTACCAGTAGAAAACCCTAAACCCTAAACCCTAAACCCTAAACCAAGTAGTGGGGTGTCCCAAATGGTCAACCCTCAGAGGCCTCCCTCCTGCAGGACCGAGGTTGATGTTAAGGTTCAGCACGCAATATCTCCTATCTCCTGAACCCTTTTGAAAAGCCCGCAAAACTCTTAAAAACCCCAAAAAAACCCGGAAACCCCAAAAGCCCTTAAAAGCCCTAAACACCTCCGAAAAACTGTAAAAGGTCCCTTGAAAACTCTAAAAGCCCCCTAGCAGCCCAAATCTAAAGCCCAAACATCCTCTCAGCGCCCCTATACCCTAAACCCTAAACCCTAAACCCTAAACCCTAGACCCTAAACCCTAAACCCTAAACCCTAAACCCCAAACCTAAAGCCCCACAAAGCCTCCTAGCAAGTTTGCGGGCCGAGCCGCGGCGGCCGCGGAGACTTCGCTTGAGGAGCTCTTGGTGGCAGCCGGCTTGCCCGGCTCCTACCAGCAGCCCCCCGCAGGCTTGGTGTGTTTAGGGTTTAGGGTTTAGGGTTTAGGGTCTAGGGTCTAGGGTTTAGGGTTTAGGGTTTAGGGTTTAGTAGGGGGTTTAGGGGCTATAAGCTTCAGGGCTTTCTTGCGCTTAGGGCTTAGGTTTTAAGGCCGCTTCAGCTTCGCGAGGTCTGGGGCTCAAGGCTTGAGAGAGGACTTTCCAGGGTTTAGGCTTTAGGGTTTAGGGTTTTCGGTTTAGGGTTTAGGGTTCAAGGTTCAGGGTAATAGGTTGTAGGGTATAGGGTATAGGGTTTAGCGTTTACGGTTTAGGGGGTAGGGTCTAGGGTTTAGGGCTCAAAATTTAAGGTTCAGCTGATAAGCCCCATACATACCCTGCGCATGCCATCCCCTAGATCACAGGTCAAATTCTACATATCTGGCTAAATCCTAAACCCTAAACCCTAAACCCGAAACCCTGAACCCTGCCACCCTCAAACCTGAACCCTGAGCCCCAGCGGCCTGGGTCTGCCCTGCCCGCGAAAGCTTGACGATGAGGCGCCGCTCCTCCTGCAGCTTACACGAGGGCAGGGCAATGTTTAGGGTTTAGGGTTTGAGTTTAGGGTCTAGGGTTTAGGGAGTAGGGGTTTAGGGTTTAGGGATTAGGGTTTAGAGATTCGGGTTTAGGGGTTTAGGGGTTTAGGGGTTTAGGGGTTTAGGGGTTTAGGGGTTTAGGGGTTTAGGGGTTTAGGGGTTTAGGGGTTTAGGAGGGGTTTAGGGGTTTAGGGATTTAGGGATTTAGGGGGTTAGGGGGTTAGGGTTCAAGTAGGGTTGAGAGGTTGGGGTTGAGGGTTTACTAGGGGATATGTGGTCATATGTATCCCTCATTTTCGGAAACCCCCACATAAGAGTCTCTTGGCTTTAGGGTTCCGGGTTGAGGGCACCTGGGTCTTTAGATTTAGGCGGCCACCAGCCCTAGACTAGGGGCCGGGAGTGGAAGGATCAGAAGGTGTTGGTTGAGGGTTTAGGGTTAGGCTTTAGGGCTTAGGGCTTAGGGTTTAGGGTTTGGGGTTTGGGGTTTGGGGTTTGGGGTTTGGGGTTTGGGGTCCGCCGACCCTGGCGGCGTGTTGGATGGGTTTGAGGAGGTGAAAACCTCCCTCTTTCCCTTTGCGGGGGGTGGGGGGGGGGGTGGGGGTTCGGTGCACAAATTTTTCGTGGAGGACCGCGCCACCCGCACAGCGTAAACAGGCGGTTCAGCACAGGGGGGTAGGGGCGCCCTCAGCAAAATCAGCGTTTTCGGCCCACCCACTCCCCCATCCCCCCACTCTCCCCCCTCCCCCACTCCCACTCCCCCACCCCCCCTGCCCCCCCCCCCCCCCCCACCCCCCCCCACCCCCTCCCCCCCACCCCCCCCCCCCCCCCCCCCCCCCCCCCGCTACCCCCTACCCCCCCCCAAACGTTTCACAGAACTCTGCCATGCGAGCGGGTTTAGACCTCTCAACTATGCTCCAGCGGGGTCGGCGGCTTGAGCCGGAGGCTCTTAAATTTGGGGCTGTGACCTGTATGTTACATCTACGACATGCGCACGTCACAGAAGCCTTCAACCTCATGGGGTGCTGGGGTGTAGGGCTTGCAATCTCAAACCTGGAGTCAAAAGCTCCAAACACGAAGTCTCAAAGCTTTACAGGGTTTTAGGGTAAGCTTAGGGGCTTAGGCTTTAGGATTTCCCCAGCCCTGATACACCTCTTACATGAAACCCAGTACCCTAAACACTACCCAAACAGAATGAAAGCCTGGGCAGAGTGAAGCAGGAGATAGACCTGCGACTCCGAAGACGGTCGTTAGCAAGGTTTTGTGCATTGGTTTCAGGGTTTTGCTTCTTTTGCTTGAAGGGCTTAGGATTCCAGATGGTTTTAGGTTTTCATGAGGGGCTTCCTCTGCTGCAGGTTTAGGCTCTGCCGCCTTTTCAGTTAGGGCTGTTTAGGGTTTAGGGTTTAGGGTTTAGGGTTTAGGGTTTAGGGTTTAGGGTCCGCTTTCTTCGTTGCCTTGCTGTGCAGTTCCACCGAAGGTCGCACAAGCTCAGAGCCCCGAAGAGTTTCCAATCCCTGTGCCCTAGACCTGATGACCCCAGGTATATATAGGACGGATATATATGTATATGTATATATACATACATATGTATATATATATATATATATATGTATGTATGTACCAACCCCTATATAATCCCAACTCGGTTTCCACCTGGGGTGACAGAATGCGAATCCAAAGGGTTTGAGGGCTTCTCCCTTGTACCTAGGGCTTCTTGCGTGGAGGCCCTGTGGGGCCGACTTTCGGCAGCTTTTTGTCATGGTTGTGAACCCCTAAGCCCAAATTTTTTAGGGTTTAGGCTCTAGGGTCTAGGGTTTAGGGTTAGGGCGGTTAGGGTTTAGGGAACCTAAGCCGCCACCACAAGCAAATAAATCTGAAGCTGGGGGGGGGGGGGGGGACGAACACATCCTGGCCTCCTTGGTGCTGTTGACAGGCACTTCAATCGTAGGAGATGGCACTCCCGCCTAGGCTTTAGGGTTTAGGGTTTAGGGTTTAGGGTTTAGGGTTTAGGGTTTAGGGTTTAGGGTTTAGGGTTTAGGGTTTAGGGTTTAGGGTTTAGGGGTCAGGATTCAGGGTGTAGGGTTTAGGGCTTGTGACTTTCCTGCCTAAGGTAGTGGGGCTCTCTGGGTCTTAAAGTTCCTTTCACTTCTGGGAGAGGCTTGAGATTCTTCACCTCGACCTATAAGCCCGCCCAACACTCTATCTAGACCCGGGAGTAACCTAGGAATAAAAAGGGTGCCCCTTTTGGCTTTAACGGGATTATAAGGGAACCCCAACCCTAAAAAAAATGAAATCAGGGCCTACTCCCGGTCCTAGCTATAGCCCAGAGCCTATTAAACTCTAAGCCCCCAAACGCTGAAACCAAAAGCTCTGTGCCCTGAACCCGAATTCAACCTAATTCCCAAAAGCCTAAAAACCCTAAACCCTAAACCCTCAACCCTAAACCCTAAACCGTAAACAGTAAGCCCTAAACCCGAAGCCCTGAACCTAACACGAAGGGACCCTCTTATCAACTCCGTGGCAGCCAGGCGACTCCCAACGCGTACTGTCGCCCTCCGGGCTCTTCCTGTCAAGGCGGGTGCGTGCTCTTTCCGAAAGAATTTGGTTCAGGGTTTACGGTTTAGGGAGTAGGGTTTAAGGTTTAGGGTTTAGGGTTTAGGGCTGGTTGCCCCCAAACAGCAATGGCCCTACCCTAAACCCTAAACCCTAATCCCTAAACCCTAAACCCTAAGCCCTAAACCCTAAACCCTAAACCCTGAACCCCAGGCCCCAAACTGGCCACCTCGAAGTCGAGCTTCAGCCCCTCCTCCTTGAAGATGGCAACCAGTCGCACCTCACAGCTGTGGCACGAACTTGGGGCATGGATCGGGGCTTAGGCTTTAGGTGCAACTCATGTTTTAGGGTTTAGGGTTTAGGGTTTAGGGTGCCCTAAACCCTAAACCCTAAATCAGGGTTTAGGTGCAATTAAGGTTTTGGGGTTTTAGGGTGCAATTAGGTTTTTAGGGCTGAGTGTGCAGTTGAGGGTGCAATTAGGGTTTTAGGGTTGCGGGTGCAATTGGAGTTTTAGGGTTTAGGGCTCAGGGTGTACATTGCGTTTGAGGGTTTTCGACGAAAGGGGCCCTCCCTCTAGGAGCCAGGGTACTCAGTAGAGAGCTTCATTCTTTCGCGGTACTTTGTGGACTGCTAGTTCGCTCTGGGGCCTCACCAGAATCAGAAACAAAAACGGGCTGCAGTGACCACGAAACTTTGCCGGGAGCCACAACCCCAACCCAAACCCCCCTATCAACCCTTCCCTAGACTCTGCAAAACCTGAAACACTCCCTATGCAAACCCTAGAACCAAAATCGATGGCCGAGCAGCTCAAGTGACCCTTTGTTGTTTTGAAAAGAGCTCGGCACCCCCAAAAAAGGCAAAAATAATACACTGCCCCTAACCCCTAAACCCATCCGTCCTAAAGCCCTGAAGCCCTTAAGCCCTGAGACACCCTCAAAGCCTCAAGCCCTTAAATCCCCCCAAGTTTTTCTGGACCCTAAACCCTAAACCCTAAACCCCAAACACCTTGAAACAACACAAAACTGGCCTTGTCTTCCCCTGCAACCACCGACCAGCCACTACCGTCCGGAAGCTGCTTGGGTGTCCCAAGTCCTGCGGCGCCGGAGGCTTTAGGGTTAAGGGTTTAGGGTTTCGGGTTTAGGGCTAGGGGTTTAGGATTTCGGGTTTAGGGTTTAGGGTTTAGGGTGTATAGCCAGAAAGGTTTAGTTAGGATTTACGGCATGGTGTGGGTTTGTTAGAGCATGCTGATGGCGTTTTCTTTTTTTTCGGTGTAAAAGGTGTTGAGGACGGCTTCAATGGCGTAGGGTTCAGGGTTGAAAGGGCTCTCAGGTCTTCTAAGGCTAGCAGACTTCGCAGGCTTCAGCCTTGCGACATGTACAGGGTTTAGGGCTTGGGGTCTAGGGGTTCTTGGGCCGAAGTGCTTTTTGGGCCTCAGGCTAGAGAATACTGCGGATGGCTGGGGATGCTAGCTTTTCGACTGCGTCCTCTACGCGCACAACGAGTTACCCTTTGGGTCATAGGGGGCCTTCTAATACCCCTCCTTGAGTCCCTAGATGGGGCCTGGGGGCAGGTGGGGCTGGGGATCAAGCCCCACGCACTGCCACGTTTCGTTCCCCCTCTCAGATGCCTCCAATAGTTTCGAGGTCGATGTTCACCTGGCCAATTCTGGCCAACAAAGGAAGGAAAGAGGGGCGGGGGAGGGGCGCATTACAGGGATGTAACATGGGCTGTCTTCAATTCACAGCACTGTCCACCAGCTGCGCCTACACGGGGCTTAGGCATCTTCTTCTTATTAGAAGGTTCAGGGGTTGGCTCCTTAATCTCCTTGTGAAAGTGAGGATCTCTGGCTTTGGGCTTGCATGCAGAGGCCGCATGAACGGCACAGAACCGCAATAGCAAGCACCAAAGGGAGGACCTGAACTCTAAACCCTAATTAGATAACACTTTGACTTATAGTTGCAGTAACCACAGCTAGACTTGCTTTTGCCCTTATAGCAAATCTTTCTCTCACACTTACTTTGGCAAATGATGAAGCCTTCTACAGGCCCTACTGCGTTCGCAGAAGACCCGTCTCTAAACCTTAAACCCTCAACCCTCAAACCCTAAACCCTAAACTCCCGGGAGCCTTCTCCCGTTAAGCGTCTCTATGACTCTATGATTTCTGATCGCTGAACCCGAAACTCTAAAACCCGAAACCCTTATTGGAAAACCACTAAACCTAAATACAAGGGTTTATAACACATCCGAAGCCCAAACGCCCTGCAGTTCCGAAGCCAAAAACAACTCTAGATGCAAAAACTCTACGCCTTCGTCCCTCGAATCCTCCTAAACCCTAAACCCTAAACCCTAAACCCTAAACCCCAAACCCCAAACCCCAAACCCCAAACCCTAAACCCCAAACCCTAAACCGACATGGTGGGGCAACGCCTTGCCCAGGTCCACCATCTCTTCCACCGAAACCTCGACGCTGTGCCTTTCGCCCTGGAACCCAGGGAGTGCCCCAGACCCCTTAGCTAAGTAGAGAAAAGACCCCCTGAACGAGTTCGGCTATGAAAAAACCCTGAAATTTCAAAAAACATATTCAGCCGTAGTTAAGTTAAGAAAAAGACCGTCTGTCTGAAACAGCGGTATAGCTTAATGAAACTGTGCGTGGCTTTTGGGCTCTCTGGCCAAGGTTTATGTAGGGCATGATCTTGGCTCTTGCGTCGAGCCCACAATCTCTATAGTAGACCCTAAAACCCCCCGAAGCCCTGACTCTTTTTACCTGCAGTTGAGTAGTAACGACCCTTAATTAGTAGGCAAAATCCCATAACGCTGTAGGGGAAGAGGGCCCCAGGTAACAGCCTCAAGCTCAGAAAGCTGAAGCTGCAAAGCCTTAAGGCCCCCCAAAAAATCTCCGAAATCCACTCAACCCTTTGTTTAGGGTTTAGGGGTTTAGGGTTTAGGGGTTTAGAGTTTAGGGTTTGTTTAGGGTTTAGGGTTTAGGGTTTATGGATAAGGGTTTAGGGGCTTAATTAGGGTTTAGGGCAACCCTCCAACTCCTGCCGCACCCCCGAGAATGGAGCCTTCCAAGTGCAGGCCACGGTGAAGTCCGTTTGCCCAGAAGGGTCCGCATCCACCTGGGTGGTTGTCAAAATTATGATCCCTTTGTGGGTACCCTACATATGAGGTGCCGTATTATAATCGGGATCCAAAAAGGGACCATAAATTTTGACAACCATCCACCTAGGGAGGGGAGGGGGGGGGGGATTGCCGACGATGGCAGAAGGGCTTTCAGGTGTAGTTTAACCCTAATCCCTAAACCCTGAACCCTAAACCCTAATCCCTATAGGGTTTAGGGTTAAGGGTTTAGGCTATTTAGGGCTTATGGAACCCCAAAACCCAGAACCACAACTAAACCCTGTGCCGTAAATCCCAAAACTCCCGGCAGTCCCAGGCCCAAACCCAAGCATCCACATTGTCGCCGCCGCTTTCCAGCTGCTTTGCGCCAACCTTGTCGATGGAGGATTGTAGGGTTTAGGGTTAGGGTTTAGGGTTAGGGTTTAGGGTTTCGGGTTTAGGGTTTAGGGTTCAGGGTTCAGGGTTCAGGGCTCTCAGCGTGTTTAGGTTTGGGATCACAGTGGAATCGGGAACCTGTGTTCTCGAACGGGGAGAAGAGGAAGGGGCCTGGCGCAGGAATCAGGGCGGCACCTGCTGAGAATGAGCGGGCGACGGGTTGGAAGCGCGACAAGGGCTAAACCAGGAACCTCCTGAGAAACTTTCTAAGTAAAACGCATGTACACGCACTGAATGTGCCTGGTCCACGGGTTGTAAGTCTGCCCTATGTCGAAGCCCCTAAATGCCAAATCTGTAAACCCTAAACCCTGAACCTCTGAATGAACCCCAAACCTTATAAGCCCCACACCATATCGAACGGTGGTCGTGTCATTTAAACTGCGTCGCATCACGTCCGCACGAGAACCTGGGGCTTGAGGCCTGCGGGCTTCGGGTCTGCAAGGGCTCGACTCTGTTGAGATGCCATGAGGGGGCGAGGACTTAGGGTTTAGGTTTTAGGGTTTGGGGCTTGCACAAAACAGTAATACCTACAGATCCCCAACGAATCCCTCAAGTGAGCCTGTGCGATGGCGGCGGCAGGCGGAGAGCACGCGAACTGCAGGCGAAGGCGCTTTGCACCGGAAGAGACCTGGGCCGCCAAACTTTAGCAGCTTCGGGTGTAAGGGGGAACGGTTTAGGGTTAGGGCTTAGGCTTTTGGGGCCAAGTTTAGAGTTTGGGTTTTACGGTCTACAGTGCCAGAACTGTAGGCAACTACCACTAGATAGCGCAGCCCTGAAAAAAGAGAGCCTGCTGTCGAGCTGAGGTTCCCTCAAACAACTACACATACCATCTCGATCTTCCAGTACCTTTTCTTTTGCAGGGGTCCATACATGAAACCTATGAAATCGTGTAAGGGGCCCTAAACCCTGTACCCTGAACACAATACCCCAAACCCTAAACCGGCCCGGGGTAAGGGAAAGCCCTGAGTACTGAGTCATTTAGCCTAAGCAGGGCACGCTGGGACTTGGCCGCCCACCAGCCCTTCGTAAAGGATGTTTTTGGCCATCGCCTGGCTTTGGGTAGGCGCCACGTATGACTCTGCAGACTGGAGATTTAGAAAGGGTGGCTTGTAAGACCCTCTTCCTGAGCGAGTCGATGCACAGGATCATGCTGTTCCGCATAAGCACTTGTGACGCTACGTCCGTCTTTCAGCTCAACGTGCAGGATGTCCCCAATGTTAAGTTCAAACCCTAAGCTCTAAACCCAAGACTCCAAAGAGGGAACATACCCGAAAGCTTAAACCCTAAACCCTGAACCCTAAACCCTGAACCCTGAACTCTGAACCCTAAACCCTAAACCCTAAACCCTAAACCCTAAACCCTAAACCCTAAACCCTAAACCCTAAGCCCTAAACCTAGAATACAAAGGGCTTGCCTAGAAAGATGTTATTGACGAAAGGCGCCCAAGGCGGGGAGCCCAGGGATCGAAAGGTTCTAGGTTGCCTTCAACTCGTTCAGCATGAAGCTGTTATATTCATATATTCATATATATATATATAGATATATATATATATATGATGCGGGTGCGGCCTGCCCCCCCCCCCCCCCCCCTGTGGTGTGGTTGTGGGTTGGTTTTAGGGGTTAGGGTTTAGGGTTTAGGGTGCAGGGTCTAGGGTTGTTTTGGGGTTTAGGGTTAGGGTTCCCCCCCCCCGTGGTGTGGTTGTGGGTTGGTTTTAGGGTTTAGGGTGTTAGGGTTTTAGGGTTTAGGGTTTAGGGTTCTAGGGTTTAGGGTTTAGGGTTTAGGTTTTAGGGGGGTTGGGGGGGGTGGGGGGGTGGGGGGGGGACCATACCATGGGGGGGGGGGGGGGGGGGTGTGGCGAACCGAGAACCGGGATCATATATATATATATACATATTAATATACACACACTTATGTTGTATATGTATGTGGTTATATAGACACAGTTCTATATATATATATATGTATACCCAAAGTCCTGCTTGTCCAACCTTGTCCATGCATCGCAAGGCGGAGACGTCTGAAATGAAGAGGATGCAGTGCGACATGAAGCTTCAGTGTTGGCATCCTCTAGGGGGAAATACCAGCTAACCTCTCCATCTCCCTCCGCATGTCTCCTACAAAAGCTGCCAAAGCAGCAAAGCCAGCGGGGACGTGGTACCCCGAATGCTTGGGTACAGGGCAATATGTCGCTTTCCATGTGCTTAGCACAAACATCATATTCATATATAATCATAAACAAACATATATATATATATATACAATGCGTGCCCGTGCGAGTGCGTTTTTGCAAAATACATTCTTTTAGGGGGGGTCACCCCCCGCAGATTCCATTTTTGCTGGTTTTGGAAAATGGGGGGCTGAAAAACGGAATCTGCAGGTGGTCACCACCTGGATTTTCCAATTCGTTTTTCTTGGCGGGAAGTGGAATTCAGGGGGGTGCCTACCCCCTCCGATTGCGTTTACCAAAAAACCATAAACGGAACCGAAACGGAATTTCATTACCCACCACCCTGGCCCGATTCCGTTTGTTATCAGGGGTGATGTTTTGGGGGACAGGAACTTTGTTAAATTGAAATTAATTAAAAGATGATTTTTTAAACTTTTAAATATATTTTGATAAGATGACATTTAACCCATTTCATGTCATTCTAATAATTGATAATATTAATACCTCATTTATTATTTCAAAACATGCATCATTACGAGCTTTAAATGCTGTAAATTCTTTGGTCTATATTTTTAATATACGTTTCTGTATAAAACATCTCTACTATGCATATTTATACGTCGAAATATGTTTGACAACATATAAAAATATGTCAATATGTACCAAACCGCGTGCTACAGTGCTACACATCGACTGCAAAGCAGATCGATGCAGTAGTTTAGGGTTTAGGGTTCGGGTTTAGCGTTATGCTGCAAGTGTCTTATGCTCTGAGTACTGCCTGCCAAGTGAGACGCTGACGTTCGTAACTTGCCTTGCGTTCCTCCAACGGATCCCCTCCCAGGTTGTGATTTAGTTTTAGTGGTCTACTCGCTGTCTTTGTCCGTCCTGAGCTTGCAAGATCCGTCTTTTCTGGTTCTACGCACATATGACCTACATCTTGGAGACCCTCAAACCCCGGACGATAAAACCCGACACCCGTAAGCTCAAACCAAAACAATCTCAACCCTATGCAAGCCCCCTAACCTCAAACCAACAGAATCTAAACTCTTTATACTGACATCCTTAACCTCAACTCTGTCGGGCGTCAGCCGATAAAGCCCTAAACCCTATACCCTAAACCCTAAACCCTAAACCCTAAACCACAAACCCTAAACCCTAAACCCCAAGCCCTTGGCCTCGAACGCCGGTCTCAGCAGCACCACGTTGTAAAGGTCATCCTCGATCTCCAGCCGCGCTGGCCTCAGCTCAAACTTAGGGCCTTGCTTGGAGGTTCAGGGTTTAGGGTTTAGGGTTTAGGATTTAGGGATCAGGGTTCAGGGTACTTATTAACCAATTATGACTGTACTTATCTGTACTTATGGCCATATCAGGACTTAAAGGGCTTTATAAGTGGGTTATAAGCACAGTTCTACTTGGCAAATAAGTACCATGAACCTCCAAGTAGGATCTCTACACCATGGCAAGGAGGTAGGCGAGGGTTTAGGGTTTAGGATTGAATGTTGATTGTTCGGGTTTTTAGGGTCTAAAGCTTAGGGTTTAGGGCTTAGGGGTTGGGGGTGGTTCTCTCCATGACGGTCCCTCTTTGGGAAGTCATCCATAGTACGGCACCCTTACAATAAGGATCTCACCAAGGACCCCAATGTAGAGAACTTCAAAATGCGGTTTAGGGTTCGGATTTAGGGTTTAGGGTTTAGGGTTTAGGGTTTAGGGTTTAGGGCTCAACGGTATCTTGGGCTTAGAGGTGCCTTGGGGAGATTTAGGCCGCCGTCGCTAAGATCAACCTATTTGTCGAAGATTGGGCTCCTGTTTTCGGGTGTAGGGTTTATAGGTTTTATAGGGTTTTTATAGGGTTTATAGGGTTTTTATAGTTTTTATAGGGTTTATAGGGTTTATAGGGTTTTTATAGGGTTTATAGGGTTTATAGGGTTTTTATAGGGTTTATAGGGTTTTTATAGGGTTTATAGGGTTTATAGGGTTTAGGGTTGCCCCTTTTAAGCCACGTACTGATGCTCATTTTGCGGCCCATTTGCCGCTTTTCCGTCGCAGACGCATACGCGTTTTGGAGCATTCCAACATGTCTGCGCGCAGAGTCTGTTTCTAGGTTGTGGGTTGACTTGTTGCTTCGGTTGGGTTTATGCAAGACCGGCAGTAAGCACATAGGTGACATCATTGCGAACAAAAAACATGACCTGAAAACTCAACTGCAAAGACTCGGGCACAGCCCTGAATCCGCATACCCCAAACCCTAAACCCTAAACTCGCAGCTGGCGTTTTCCGCTTCGCACGTGCTCATGGCATGCGCCGATCCCCTGAGGCGTAGGAGGGCGGAAGTTGGATGTCCTCAGGGCTTCATGAAAAGGGTTGAGGGTTCAGGGCTTGGGGTTAATAAATCGGGTCTAGGGCTCGGTGCGTGAGAGATTGCACTGCAGGATGGGCATCCCCATTCTTTAAATACCAAGAGATTGGTTGGGACGTTGTTTTTTTTGGAGGGGTCATGTGGATTTAGGGAGTCAGTGCATAGAGAATTGAGAAAATCATGATTCCCCCAACCCTGCCTAAAAATGCAGGGCCTGTGCTGGGAAAGCGGCCGATTTGCAGGGAGCACATGCCATGGCAAGTTGGGGAAAGGACAGTCCCTTTGGGGGTACCCTACACGATGATTAGGGTTGTTCACGGGTTCACGGGAGGTCTGGAACCCAAGGTTCCCTAATACTCCCCACTACTTCCTAAGCTTCCCTAAGGTCTATTTAGGTGCCTGACCCCCACCCCCTGTGAACCCCTCTCCCTTCAGGACCCTATACATCATTGTCAAGAAGTGACCGCAAGCATTCGCTGCGATCTGTCCTGGTCACCCATGAGGCCCCACTTGATGTAATCCTGCAAGCTGCATTCATATGGGGCTTAGGGTTCATAGGGTTTAGGCTTTAGGGGGGTTTAGGGGCACCTCAGATCGTTGAGAAGACCTACCTATAAGCCCTAAACCCTCCAGGAGACCATCGAATACGATCATTCTGATGGACCGACATTGGGAGGAGGGGTGGTTCCGAACTTAGGGCAAGAGGGAGGGCTTAGAGTGTTTCCTGGTAGCCTTTTGTGGCTACACATTGCCGTAAAGCCAACCCATTCATGACTCAGCAGGCCCGCAACAGTCCAGAGACAAAGTAAATTTGCTTCGAGTTGGGTTTACAAGACTGAGGGTTCTGGGTGCAGGGTCCAGGTGAAGGCTTATGTGAATCTGTTCTTCTTCTGTTTAGATTCCCGCGGTTTGGGATTTTGTAGTTGGGGGTTGAGGGATTCTAAAACAATAATTGCTGGAACATCTAGACATCACAATCCCGTAGACCTGCGCGGGTACTGTTTACCTTGTCCTTTTCACATGTGCTAAGCTTCCTGGGGCTCTGCTTTACAGCTGAGCAGCAGCTACCCCTTATTCATAGCTTGCCCATGCTTAGTTTGTCCAGTACCTAGGGGAACTAAAGGTTATCCTGTGGGAATAGAAGAGGATTCTCTTTCCCCAAAAAGGTCAAAGGATGCATACTCTACTACTAAGCATAAAATCTGTATGGCAGTAGAGTCCAAGGTAGGGTCTCTTCTTGTGAGGCTATCAGGCTTGGCGGGGGATGCGCTTTGGGGCTTCGAACCCAAAGATGCCTAAAAAGCCTCGACTCATGTGCTCTGTGGGCTTTCAGCTTTGGGTTTTTGCGGCATGCGAAAATCACCTCTAGAACGCCCGGGGCCCGAATACTCTACACACTTTCCGAAGCCCTAAACCCCTCAACAAATTCCTGGATACCCCTTTGTTCTCTAAGCTCAACTTGTGACGCTTCGACGCTTCACCCACCTCGCCCTCGGCTGCTTTGTACTCGTCACTCAGGGAGACGACAACCTGACACCAATGGGGCTTTGTATATAAGTATAAACAAACCAGAAATTACATAAATATATACACCTTTTGTATATATGTATACATAGTATATAGATACAATACGTGTGTGTGTGTGCATGCTTGCAGATGTTGGTGTGTTTTACGCCAGCAATGTGATGCAGCGACTCAGCTCGATTCTGCTAGGGCCGCCGAGATGTCAAGATTCAGAGACACATATGCAACTCGACACCTGAGCTCTCACCCTCTCCAGCTGCAAGTGTTGCACCCGAACCCTAAAACCCTAAAAGCTAAACCCCAAACCCGAAGCCCCAAATCCCTAAACATCCCTAAACCCTAAGCCTTTGGTCCGCAGGTCAACTTAATCCCCCCCCCCAACACCTCACACCCTAGCCTAGACCCTAAACCCTAAACCCTAGACCCTAGACCCTAGACCCTAGACCCTAGACCCTAAACCCTAAACCCTAAACCCTAAACCCTAAACCCAAAACCCAAAACCCTAAACCCTAAACCCTAAACCCTAAACCCTAAACCCCTAAACCCCTAAACCCGAAACCCTCAACCCACCTCCTTGGCATGGTCAAACTCATCCAAGCTCTCCGCAAAGAGTGACTCCTGCCTGCAATCGCAGCGCAGGGGCTTCTATTTTAGGGTTTCGGGTTTAGGGTTTAGGGGTACCTTATGGGGGTCCTTACTAAAAGGGAATCCAATTATTTGGGGGTCGATATTTGGGTCCCTCATTTTCGTACACTCCCATATGACAGGGTCCTTATGGGAGGGGGGGTGGTTCTTAAGGGATTCGATTCTCGGGTTTGTTAGGGAGGAGGGTTCTATTATAGGGTTCTTAAGGGCGGGGGTTCGATTATAGGGTTCTTAAGGGAGGGGGGTTCTATTGTAGGGTTCTTAAGGGAGGGGGGTTCAAGGGGGGTATGTAACCCAAGGCCCCCGAATACTCCCTACTGCTCCCCAAGGCCCCCTGCAATCGCAGCCTACCTGGGTCTTTTCCTACATTTTATATGGGTTGTTCCTACTGTTTCAGGGTAGTTACTACTAAACTGTAGGTAAGTAGAATCCCATGCAGGGCTTGTAGGGCTTACGTGGGACTTAGGGTTTCGGGGCCAAGGGCTCAGAGCCTCGGACTCGTGCGTAGGATTTAGGGTTTAGGGTTTATAAGGTTTAGGGTTTAGGGTTTCGGGGTTAGGGTTTAGGGCAGCCTGTCTCAAACCTAGAAGATTCTTGCATGGTCCGTGCAGGCCTTGTTAAGATCTGGTGCGGCCTGCATCCCTAAAACGTATAACAGCACTCAC